TCTCTCTCTCTCTCTCTCTCTCTCTCTCTCTCTCTCTCTCTCTCTTTGAGGCCAAATCTGGGAACTGGCCAGGACCACATACCCTTGTACCAAGGGCCCCCCAAAAGAGCTTGATATACAGATATTGCTTAAACACTTCAATAGATTTTTCCCCCTTTGGCTTTAGTTGTTTTTTTTTTTTTTCCTTTTCTTTTCTTTTCTGTTCTTTCTACATCTGTTGGCTTAAGGTCACAAAAATCATAGCCTGATAGCCAGATTGAGCCCTACAGTAACCATTTCTCTCCTTCCACCTTCTCTCTGTCTACCCATCTTCTTTTACTTATTTATAAATAAATAAAAGGAAGGACCTGCAAAGAGCTGCTTTGGAAAGTAGTGTCCAGTTGGTGTGTGCAGTTAAAAGGTTTTCTCTGGTCTCAGGTGTGAGTTCAGGGCACTCCCACTGAAGTGAGGTTATGTGCCTCTAAGTAAACTCAAGGGCCAGACTTCACAAAAACAAACTATCATTTGAGTGTTTGATTCTTCATACCCATTTCAATAGTCTCACACATATAGAATTCACTAACAACTCCCCTAGAATGTGCCAATCAAAAAATTATCCAAAAAGGTTCCCATTAGTGTAGCTCGATAGCTATAGGCACTTGCCTTCAAGCCTGATGGGCCTGAGCAAGCCATGGAACACCCATGGTAGATGTAAAGAAGCAACTTCTGTAAATTCTCCTCGGGCCGCCACACACGACCCAGCGGCACGCCCAACTCCACACACTAATTAACCAATGCAAAACCATCAAAGAGGACAGGTAAATGTGTCTTCCCGAACAACGAAATCACAAATGTTTTGAACGCATTGGTTGACTTTTAAGGAGCAAAGTAGCCATTTCCTTCTAGCCTTGCCATTCACTAGCTCTGTGGGCATATTTATTTCATCTACAAGATGCAGAGGTCGGACTAGCTCCTCTCCGAGCTCACTCTGCTTTTTATGACATGTGTCATCCAGCTCTTCTAGGAGGGCGTTGTTCCAAACCTAAGCACAATAGGATATCAGAGATGCAAAATATTTAAGAAAAACATTAGTCTAGGAAGTTGGCTCATAGTGGCCAAGTTTTCTTCTCCTGAGCTGAATGGCCATCAATGACATGGCAATCAAGATTAGGAACATAGGGTCTGGAGAAGTGGTTCAGTGGTTAAGATCTCACACTGCCCTCAATTCCCAACACCCACGTCAAGAAGCTCCCAACCATTCGTAACTCCAGCTTTGGGAGGATCCGATACCCCTAGCCTCCAAGGACACCAGCACATATGTACACACAATTAAAAAATAATAAAGATAAATATTTTTTAAAAGATTAAGAATGTCAGAGCATGCCAGGCAGTGGTGGCACATGGCAGGTCTCTGTGAGTTCCAGGCCAGCCTGGTCTACAGAGTGAGTTCCAGTACAGCCTGGTATACAGAGTGAGTTATAGGACAGCCAAGGCTACACAAAGAGACCCTATTTCAGAAAAATAAAAAGTCAGAGCACACAGTGACAGCTATGAGTAATAGCCACAGGAAACAAAACTCAAGCCTCCTGGGCTCTTCTTTCAGTGTTCGTAGTAGCATACTATTTTATTCCCAGAGAAAACTGCAAGATATATATTAAACAATTATAATGAAGACTGACTATAGTGCTATTGATAAAGCACCTAAAGGTTGATCAGTCGTCTAAAGAGCAGATACTACTGCTATTGTTACAACTAGCACTGCCAGCAGCAGCCCCCAAGGACACCCATCTTCCTCTTGAGGATGTAGCATCAGCATCCTCAGTCTTAACAGTCGGTGCTTAGACAGGAGCTGTGCCGGCTAGGGTGGGAGGAAGCGAAAGAAAACAGAAGAAACCTAGCAGGTGAGAGTTTTACAGATACTGCAGGAACTAAGATGAGTGGCACATGTGGCCATTTGGGTTCATTTTTCTAAAATTTAACAACAAAAAATATATGCAATAAATTCTTGGAGCTTACACAGAGATGGTAGATAGGGGGAAGGAAGTGGGTGAGAGAAACAGAGATGAAGGCAGAGAAAAGAAGAGGAGAAAAATAGTTTAGAGAAAAAATACTGTCTAATAAGCAAGGAGAACTGGTGCCTGATTAACCCACAGAGCAAAACACTTACCTTGGAAAGGCTAGGGCACTGTTGGGACGCTTTCGATAGCCCTCTCTTCTAGACATCACAGAGTCCATGGTGCCAGGCCTCTGGAGGACACAGACAGAGATTACACCAAGCCATGAACACAGAACAGACCAAGACACTGCAGGCTGCCTCTAAAACAATGCTATACCATTGTGCTGTTTGCATTAAGGTCCAGTAAGGAGTGACCTCCTTCATCAAAATTCACCTGGGAAGCTGAAAAGCAGTTCCACAAACACTGCTTTTTCTCAAGTCCTCTACTCCTTTTGAAAATTTCCCTAAGAGTTGAAGCTCCTTCTAGACATCTTTAGAAAGTGAGCAAACATCCAGAAACTATCAAGTGATGAACACAGCTCAGATTCCACTCTTGACCCACAGGACTCAAAAATTATGCTGTTCAGAGGTCCCTGAAGTCAAGTGAGCTTTTGTCCCCTTGCACACTGCTAGCTCCTATGTTTCCAGGCACTAGGCTTGTGGGGGTAACAACTGGAGCTGCCTTGCAGGATCTTAGTGGAGTACTCTATGGAAATGTGTACAAAAGCACACAACCAAGAGCTATTGTAGATATCACTTTAAAATAAGGTTGTGTGGAAAACTCGAAAGAGCCTCCTTATACACCGCCCCATCTCAAACTCCATAGCAGAGGTCCATGAAGGGAGAAATGGACAGTCAGACCATTTTCATAATCTTTCCATTGTGAAATAAATAAATAAATCAAGCTTCAGCTAAATGGGATGTTGCAATGATTCAATTAATTCCTGTCATCTTTATTAGTACCCAGAGGTGTACAAAAGGCACATTAACCCCTGGATAAATGCTACTGATTATTTCTTTGCCTCTTTAAGCTCTGCTAAATCTAACAGCATGAACACCATGCCAGCTACTTAGTGGTTAACCATGACGGTGACAGTTATGAAATATATTGACACTATACCAAAAACTAAAAATTACACTGGAAGGAGAATGGCTCAACACCTAAAAGCACTGGCTATTCTTGCAGAGGACCCTGGTTTGGTTCTCAGTCCTACACAGTGCTCACAACTGTCTGGAACCCCATTGTCGGGGGATCGGGTGTCCTCTTCTGGCTCCCATGGGCATTAAACATGCCAGCAAAACACATAAAAAATAAAGTGAAAAGGAAAAGCTTAGAAATAGGTTTGCATTGGCTTGAATTAGTTTCGTTGTAAAATTTTCTTAAGATAAAATAGTAGAAGCTGCAAAACCTGAGTGCTGATAAACTCTGGGCTTGAATTTTCCTCTGCTAGCTTTATCAGAACCCACTTGAACTTCACAATATGACCTCTGAACCTCCATATTCTGCCTGGAAGATCAGGGTGATCATCAGACAGTGCTGCTTTTGCAGTAATTTGAGACTCAGACGAAATAATGCATCCAGGAGAACTTTGTTGGTAATAGGGTGCTATAAAAATGTCCAAAACTGAGTTTCTACTACTTTGTCCATTCCTTGGTTAGAACTGACTCAAAATTTGAAGCTCTTCACCTTATTTGTCAAGGAACTGTCCATCTATACGCACACATTTCCACATGCTTGAGAAAACTGTCACTTAAAATATGTCAACACAAGCTTTTTTCTTTTATCTTTTTGTTTGTCTGTATGATATTTTGGGAGGCATTGAGATTTAAGACAGGGTCTCTCCCTGCATAGCCCTGGCTGTCCTGGAACTCACTATGCAGACCAGGCTAGCCTCAAACTCACAGATACCTGCCTGCCTCCTGAGTGCTGGGATTAAAGGCGTGTGACACCATGTCTATCCAATAGACTTTCTTTTTTTAAATTTTTAATTTATTTTTTATGAATTACAGTTTATTCACTTTGCATTCCAACTGTAGCTCCTTCCCTCATCCCCTCCCAAACCCACTCTCTCTTCCTCTTCTCAACCCATGCCCCCCCCCGCAGTCCACTGATAGGGGAGGTCCTCCTCTCCTTCCCTCTGATCCTAGTCTATCAAGTCTCATGAGGAGTGGCTGCATTGTCTTCCTCTGTGGCCTGGTAAGACTGCTCCCCCCTTCAGGGGGAGATGATCAAAGAGCAGGCCATTCAGTTCATGTCAGAGACACTCCCTGTTCCCCTTACTAGGGAAACCTCTTAGACACTGAGCTGCCATGGGCTACATCTGTGCAGGGGTTCTAGGTTATCTCCATGTATGGTCCCTGGTTGGAATATCAGTCTCAGAAAAGATCCCTGTGCCCAGATTTTTTTTTTCTTTCCTTATGGAGCTCCTGTCCCCTCCAAGTCTTTCTATCTCCCCCTTCTTTCATAAGATTCCCTGCACTCTGCCCAAATAGACTTTCTTAATGACAGCACACCCACATTTGATTCAGAACTCCAGACTGAAAAGAGTGATTATGGTGATGGCTAATTTTAATTGCCATCTTAATCTGATGTAGAATTCCTGGGAAGGCAGTCTCCATGAGGGCCTGTCTAGTTCAATGTCCTATTGGCATGCCTGTGGGGGACCATCTTCATTTCCTCTATTAATGTGGAAAAACGAAGACTGAAAGTGGGCAGCCCCATTCCCTAGCGTTGGTCAACTGCCCCAGAGCGCAGACTGTGGTGTGATCCAATCAGTTGCATTAAGTTCCTGCCACCTTGACGACCGTGCTCTGAGGGTGTGTGGCCTGGAAGTGTGAGCTACCAAACCCATTTCATGGGTTTGTCATGCTGTCCTATCACAGCAGTAGAAACGGAACAAGCAAAGATTAGAAAAAAAAAAAAAAAACAATTTACATTTGCAAGAGCTTTGGTCAAGGTGCCGCTCCCATCCATCGCACACAGGAAGTCCTTGTAAAACCTCATCTTCACTTTGCTGTCTCTGATCGAAAGGACCCCAATTCCTTTGAATGTGAACTCCACATTTTGCTTGATGGAAATGGATCGTGATAAAAAGAGTAGTGTCTCCTTAACGCATCCTTCTATGGTATCCCTGTTAAACGGCCCCTCCAATGATATCATGACAAAATTAAGCGGGACAACTGGAATATCACCTGGAGAAGAAAAAGACAGAGGGAGGGGAAGGAGTTTATACAAGAGATGTATAATGAAGACTCTAACAAAAGCATATTACACACACTTTTAAATAATTACCTGACTCTTGATATTAAAAAACAGAATCGTCCATATTTCTCCTTACACTTGTAATGCTATTGCAGACAATGAAGATAACTGCTCATTAAAGATGCTAATCAGCACAAGTTCACTGAAAAGTATAATGCATTTGCTTATAATGAAAATAATTGCCTATCTAAATAATCTAAAGAGGAATTTAGTTTTCTCGAGGGTGCAGAACAGTGACAGACTCCTATTCTATTCAGAGTTTTCTGAGGTTTTCAGAATACTCTGCAGCAGTGTTTATGAAAGTCTTCCAGCTGCCATATCATCTCTAGATAATTACAAATATTTGTAAATATTAAATGTTTGAAAAGTTAGCCACCTTCCCTAGAAGTTATCTTTCATGAAAATAAGTCGTACACAGAGGTATCAGACTAGACAAGATGCAGAAAGCTTTTCCTTCCCAAAGAACTCTTAAATGACAAGGCAAATGAATGAGGTTGTATCTACCTTGAAGGAAGCAAGGATCTATTTGACTGAAACTGGTGTAGAATCTGTGCAAGGTCCACAGATCGGAGAAAAAAGTAAGCAGCAGAGAGGATAGAGATGACCATAACAAATAGCAGTAACAAGGTCTGCTAGCAGAGGAGCAAGACCCAGAGAGGCACACTCCAAGTATTTGCTTAACACAAATTACTCTTTCAAATGCCCGCTACTGCTGTATGATAAGAGTTAGTAGTTCAACGGGATGTGGCCTTCACTACATCAGCCCAGTCTCCTGCACAATGAACACTGATTTTTCACCACCTCCGTCTGCTTCTTTTTAATGTGTGATTCATAAAACCAAAGACTGGATTGCCTGCTTTCCCATAGCCCATTGCATCTCTGCAGTCAGTCTTCCAGTCCACTTATGTCAAGAAAGATGTTTTCTCCCATGGTGGATGAGCCAGTGGATACTTGGAAATCTGTCCTCTCATGACTTTCATGGACCTGTTGATCATGTCCTCTTTTCTCTTATAGCCATGACATGCTTCTCCAACTTCCTCCTTGGTCTACTTTCTGATTTCCCTCTTCGTTTATTCCTAACTATACTGAGGGGGGCTTGAGCGGCCATTTTGATTTTTATATGTTGTTGATTTGGGAGATTTTGTTGTTCCACAGGACTCTCTCTTCATCTGCTTCTTTATATCTTCACCTAGGTAACCCTATTCAAACCTAGATCTGTGTTCTCCACATCTCTTCTAAGTTCTTGGGTCACCTCTGTCTAAACATCTCTAGGACAAGGCCAGATTCAACATGTCTCAACATGAGCTTGCTACATTATCCATAACCACAATCATTCACTCTTCTCCCAGCAGGAAATCCGAGCAACTCTAAATAACCTCCCCCACTTTTACCTGGTCCCATCAGCTCTCACCTGAAATAGCTCCCATTCAGTCATCTCCTGTCAGCAGTTCCCAGAGGATGAACCCTAATTTCATTATCACACATGTGGTCTTTACCTACTATCTTTGTAGTAATTATGTCCCTCCAATTTGCCACAGTCATCACTCCTGGCCACAATGAAGTGCCCAGAATGTTCCTAACAGGGGTCATTCTGTCTCATAATCTTGTGTTCACACAATTTCTGAGACCTGGCTTTTCCACTGGCAAAACCTCCCCAGATGGAGACAGGCATGCTCTACTATGCATCAGATTTGATCCAGTTCTGACCAAGGCTGCTTGTGGGGCACCAAAGCCTGAGGGTCTCAAAGCCAGAACCACGTCTCGCTGATTACTAAAAAACCACTCTAAGGTGTTTGGTTATCTAGTTAGTTACTAGTGAATAATTTTAACTCTGAATCTAAGATGGAGACAGCATTGTTCTTTTGAACTACTTCATTCTGAAATTTCTACATCCTGTAAAAAAAAAAAATGAGTTATACATCTAAACTACTTTTTAAGATTATGAGGCAAGATCTAAGGTGAAAAATAAACTCTTAATTCTAAAGCAAATGTATTTTTTAAAGAAGGCCATTTTATCTTGATTTCCTTTCGTACTGTTTGATGAAACAAAAGGTGAATGGCTGAAACTGTCAAACCCACCATATTGAATATAGGCAAAGTAAATTCTAAGCACAGTTTATTGGTGTTTGTTTTTGTTTGCTTGTTTGGTAGTTTTGGTAGTTTTGAGACAGGTCTCACTCTGTAGGCCCAGCCAGGCTGGAACCCACTGTAGCTTTAGGTGGCCTCAGATTTGTGGCAATCCTCCTGCCTCAGGCTTACAAGTGCAGGGATATGGGATGAGCCACTGTACCTGGAAACTTGGCTTGCTTTCTCCTTTTCAAAGAGAGCTACCCCGAAAATAAATTTTCTAGAGAGTTAACTTAAAGAAAATTATAAGCTTTTTACATCTTCTGCCAAGGGTAGACCATTTCTCTTTAACCACATCTGACTGTAATGCAAATGAAGACTAAGGAACACTAAAAGAACACAGGCCTTGGGCACTAAGCCCTCAGCAGTGGATAACCAGCCATGGCGAGGATGGTAAAGTCCACACGCTGAGGCTGGATGTAAGTGAGTAATACAGCATGGGTACATTTGTCTTGTTTGCCACTTTAGTCTTAGAGCCTATAGAGTTGGCCCTTTATAAAAATTTCTGAAAGAAAGGAAAGAAAAGAAAAGGAGGGAGGGAGAGAAAAAGAAAGAGAAAAGGAAGGAAGAAAGAACAGTTTTAGGGTGTTAAAAAAAAACCTTTAAGTTAATATACATTAAATGAAGCATTATTAAATTTTAATTTTTAATAATTTAGCTTATATACACCATAGAAAGACATTTTACCACAGATAACTGAACAAGGATTTTGTTGTTATTGTTGTTGTTGCCCAGAGACCATAAATTAGATTTCTCTTCTTTATGGCCACTTACAAATTCTTAGAACCTGAAACTTGAGTATAAGCCTGTAGAACTTTGTTGCATTGCTTTTAAATGAACTCGGGTATCACCATGCCTGTATCTTAAGTTACTAGTGTCTAAAGTAGACTCCAGGGGCTGGCAGGATGACTCAGAGTAAGGGCATGTGCCACCAAGCCTGAGGACATGAATTCAATCCCTAGAACATATATGGTGGATCAAGAGCAATGATTGCCATAGGTTGTCCTCTGACTTCCACACACAGCCTGTGGCATAAACACACACGCACACATGTTAAAATAAATATTTAACATTTTCAAAGTAAACACAATGAGCTTCAGGAAGACATTAATTTTCCTTCCCTTGTTCCATGTTCCTTGTTCCATAAGTACTCTATGAAACACCAACCTCTCAAACCAGAAAGTAATGCAACACTGAGCAAGTTTTACCCCATTTGTCTCCACAGGCCAGTAAGTTTCTGGGAAAATCCCAACTGTTAAAATGATTTACCAGGAGAAAATACTTTGTTTTGTTTCAGTCCATGGGTCTGCACTAACTTCTCCGCCATGATGAACACCGGCCTCTGCACCAGAATGAACTTCTTGTTTCCCATCTCAAGCTGCTGCCTCGTGAAAGTGAAAGTCCCAAGTCCTGAAATCTGAACCCCCTGAGAGAAAAAAAAGAAGACAAAAAGAACACACATGGCTCCATTAATAATCATCCAATTGCCTAAAGGAAACTGACGATTTAAGCTTAAGCTTAAAGATTCAGTAACCTCTGTGAGTGCGCTGTTTCTATGAAAATGTTTGTGGCACCATAGCTTCTACAAATCTATACAAAGTATTAGTCCTGCCCTAAGCTGTATGACATAAAGCCAATCATTTTCAATGTACTGAAATACTAGTTTTCTTACTCTCTGATTTTATGTCGCCATTTAAAGTCAGAGAATTCACTAGTGGGAGAGGGCAGTGGAGGGATTAATACGAGCAAATACAATTGTGTATTGTGACAGTGTCATAATGAAGGCCAGTGTCTTGTGTTTTAACTAATTAAATGGGTTAAGTAGATAAAATGAAATGGAAACAGACAAACCAGCATCCAAGGCAATACCTCTTGACCTCAAATTTGGTTGACCTGTTGATACCCTAAAGATATTGTACACCAATGGTTACAAACTCAAATCTACAAGAACAGCTTTTTAAAAGGGGGGGGGGATGAAGGGAGACAGCTAGAGTCTCTGGTGGCCAGGACATGCATACATACTTCATGTAAAGGGGAGAACCCACCATGGGCTGCAGCCATGGTCACATGCAAAAACAGAAGACTAATTTCATTAAGCCTGCTGGCTTTTCAAGAAAATGTATTTTACAAATACTCTGCCAATTTTAAATTATGATAAATAATTCAAATTTCCAAACCAGACAAAATACGTTTGAAGAGTTTATTCACCCCCACTGTCATAGTCAGGACATGTGAGTAGGGTATAAAACTTCCACAGCTTCCTAAGTGCCTCCAAGCTCCTCCTGAAATCCCTACCTAATTCTAAGACTCGACCTGAAGAAAAAGTCTAACCATAGGAAGTTTCTTATTTTACACTGGCTGAATTTAGTTTCTGGATTTATATATTCCAATTACAACTTATTCCCAGCAAAACAGCAGAACAGGGAGGGTTATACCCTTCCACATCTGTTCCAGGAACTGTCAGCTATAAATAGACCTCATCTAGTTTCTTTACACAAACCCAGACTGAGCAACCTGTGCTCTCCCTGTCACTAAAGATGCATTGCCTAAGGTTAATATCCAGATTGCTACAAATCCTACATGTGTCAGAGAATAAAAAAATAAAAAGGAGTGACTTCTAATACAATAAAGCTGAAGACAAAACAGAACAGCTCTAAACCCTGCATCACAACTCCCAACAAAAGCAGGCAAGCCTACCTAAGAAATAGCTCTCTCTCGGACTGCTGTGTTAAATCGAAGCATAAAAAGCCTACCTTGTGCATAGTTAGCTGCCGTTCCACAAAATCTGAAACATTCCCCCAGATAGTGGACACTTCTGAAATTCAAAGGAAAATGGAAACAAGTTATGGGAGCAACCATGGGACATTATTTTCATTGTAGTAAGCAAAAGTTTAAATATGAAATAGATAAATGCTAACTTTTTTTTTGTTTTTGTTTTTCAAGCCAGGGTTTCTCTGTGTAGCCTTGGCTGTCCTGGACTCACTTTGTAGACAAGCCTGGCCTCGAACTCACAGAGACCCTCCTGCCTCTGCCTCCCTGAGTGCTGGGATCACAGGCCTGTGCCACCTTGCATGCATCTCCTTAAATACTAACTTCTAATTCATATAGAACTAACAAAAAAAATAAAATAATTCCCCCAAATTAACTCTTCTGTTAACTAAAGTTTAAGTTTCCAAGTTAAGGCTTTAATAAGAACAGTAATAGGACTGGGAAATGTGGCCAACCCAGTGTGCATGAGGCCTAGGTTCAACCTCCAGTACAACAAAGGAGACAGAGAGGCGCGGGGGAGGGCGAGGTGACTCAGTAATGGAATGCTTACCATGATTGAGGCCCTGCTCCCTAGCCACCAAACTCACCTTTTTTCTGCCACATGGTTAGTAAAAAGTACCTTATAGCCCTGATAGATCAGAACTGAAAGCTGTAGTCTTCCTGCTTTAGTTAGCAATTTTAAGTATTAAGAGAAAACTACTAAGTTGGCATTGTTGGAGAAGAATTGGCCTTTTTGTTCCTAACTTCATCCATGCCCCCCCAAGTGGCAGCCCAGTAGGAATTATTAAGTTTTCTCAGTCTTTTTGTCTTAATAACTAAAACTTAGCCTACTTGAGCTGTAAAAAGTCCCTGATTAGAAATTACCACCAATGACATATGATTAGACTTAGGATGGTGAGCTCCACACAGACAGAATTTTCCGTATTGTTAAGTGCTACCCACATCCAGACTACATATTCATTTTGCACATTAACACCATAGCATTGTTAACTGTTATTTGGGTTTTTTTTGGCGGGGGGCGGGGGGGTAGGGGTAGGCTAGGGGAAGGAGAACCAAACTGAGTACCAGAAAATAAATATAGGAGCCAGGTGTGGTGGCGCACACCTGTAATCCCAGCACTCAGGGAGGCAGAGGCAGGCGGATCTCTGTGAGTTTGAGGCCAGCCTGGTCTACACAAAGTGAGTCCAGGACAGCCAAGGCTACACAGAGAAACCCTGTCTTGAAAAAAAAACGATAGATAGATAGATAGATAGATAGATAGATAGATAGATAGATAGAT